GGTTCATAATGTTCCAGGCAGCAGGAACAACAGCTGCAAAGGCCGTGAAGTGGGAACTTGCCTTTCACACTTAGGGAATAGAGGGAGACCAGCACAGATGAAGTAGAGCTGGCGAGGGGGATAGCAGGGTGGGGGTGAGGTCTGACAGGTGGCAGATGCTGGGCTGCAAACAGCCTGGATGCCGTTGAAGAACATGGGCTTTTACTCCATGTGGGAAGGAGGGACTTGAGCAGGCCTTGGAGCAGGCTCTGCCTCAGGCTGGGCAGGGCCATCCACAGCTGGGATAAAAAAGGCCACAGCTCGGGTGAGGGGAATCACGGAGAACACTGAGACCTGAAGAACTTGCTGGGGTAACCGGGCTTGGACCTTGATGATGGGAGTGGGAGGGCCGAGAGGTGAGAAGATTCTGGGATGATCTTGGAGACTGAGCCAACAGGATGCCCTGAGGGATGGGAGGGGAGGGGAGGGAGAAAGAGAGGCACAGGAATGAGTCCCAGCTTTTGGCCTGGGCAACTGGCAGGATGGAGCCACAGCTGAGATGGGGAAGGCTGCTGGTGAGGCAGGAGTTTGGGGGAGGTCAGGAGTCCAGCTTTGGACAAGCTGAGGATGAAGATGTCCCTTTAGACACCAGGCAGAAATGCTGAGTAGAGAGGTGGCTACAGGAGTCTAGAGTCTTCCCTGAGGAGTGGCCCAGGCAGAAAATGTAAAGCTAGGAGTTGTCAGCATATACGTAGTGTCCAAACCAGGAGGCTAGATGGGACCACCATGGGAATGAGAATGAGGAGAGGAGAGACAAGAGCTGAGCCCTGGGGCCCTCCAATGCTAAGAGGTGCAGGAGGAACCAACAGAGAGGCTGGGAAGGGGAGGGTGGTGTCCTGGAGGAGAAAAAGATCAACCAATTGAAGGCCACAAGGTCTGGGAAGAAACAACAGGATTTAGCAACAAAGAGGTCGTTGGTGATCTTGACATCAGTAAGGCTGGTGGGGCATTTCAAGTAGATTCAGGGCCAGGCACGGTGGCTCACGCCTGTAATCCTAGCACTTTGGGAGGCTGAGGCAGGAGAATCACTGGAACTCGGGAGGTGGAGGCTGCAGTGAGCCAAGATTGCGCCAATGCACTCCAGCCTGGGTGACAGAGTAAGGCTCCGTCTCAAAAAAAAAAAAAAAATTAGATTCAGGCGGTAAGTGGGAGACGGCACCCCTGCAGCACCTGTCCCTCATGCTAAAGGCGTCATGTGACCATTCAGGGCTGATAACCAGGGCTAAGGTGTGGGTGAGGCCAACCAGCCTGACCAGGGACTGAGCTGCTGATCTGCCCTCGCGCCACTCCTCTCATTCCAGGCTCTGCTGCCAACAACTGATGTTCACGTCTGGAGCAAGACATGCAGGGACGCGGGGCCCTGTCTGGGGAAGCAGGGTGATATGAACAGACCAGAAGGCAGCACTAGTTAATGACTTCATTTGGCCTCTGTCTTCTCCGGCTGGTAGAAGGTCTTCAAAAAGAACATTACACAGAGGGAATTGGAGCCTGAGATAGGTGAGGAGATAGTAGTGAACACGCAGTCTCTGTGAGGGATTGCAGATGGCCATGCTGTGCCCTCCCATTCTGCTCCCAGGCCACTGGCCCCCTGATGGAACGCAGGCAAGAGCACATAAAATGACAAGGCTCAGAAGGTTGGGGGTGGATAAAAGTCTCAGTCTCTAACCCAGGAGAACACATTCACAGAAGACATACAGATAGACCCTGTAGCCCAACTCTACCTCTGATTCTTAAAAGGAATTTTTTAAATGAATTAATGCATAAAAACACTTAGGACACTGCCTTGAACAGTCAATAAAGGCTGTTGTTATAATAATTTATGTTATGTGTATATATAGTATGTCATATATGTTATATTATCATTTTTAATCTATGAGGCTCCAGCAATCAGAATTAGACCCAATGGGTAGTTCCAGGGAGGCAGGTTTCCTGTTACTCTTAGGAAGAATTTTTTCTTCCTGGAACCGTCCCACAGCACAGAGTGAGCTGCCTCGTAGACCCATGAACTGACCATCACTGGGTGTCTAAAGAGAAACCAGGTAATGAGGCCTCGAGCTGGAAGTTCGATCTGCCTACAACTCTGACCTCTGGTGGGCTGATACGTTCAGCCTGGGTTGGGCTCTGCGTCTTGCCCTGGCACTAAGCACCACCCTGGATCCAGCTTATCTGTGTGTTTGTCTGCCCTGAAAGCCCATGGTTGGTAGGACAGCCCAACCCGCCATCCCTGGGCCACGTACGGGCCTCCCTTTAGTAAGAACAAAACATTCCCAGGTTGGAAGCTTTGGAGGCGGTGGTATTGTATGTAAACTTCCCAACAATCCAGTGAGAGGACTATCCCATCCCCATTTTGGAGACTGGAACTCTGAGTCAAAGAGTGAATGGTTCGTGAGAGCCAAGTCTTAAAGTTAAGTCTCTAGACCACCCCACTCCCCATGGCAGGCAAAAGTCCAGTCCCCTGGACAAGCTGTTTCAACCTCCCCCTCTCCCTAGCCTGCTGGTGGGAGGCCTGCACGCATGAAGCCCACCACATCCATGTGAGTCCATACCCACCATCTGCTTGGCCCAGGGCCAAGTGGGTGCCAACACCCAGCAGACGGCTCCAGGCTGGTCTCTTCTGAGGATCTGGAAACAACTGGGGCCAGCCAGGCTGCCCCAGTCAAAGTCCACTGGGTTTATCTTTCAATGCCCACTCATTGTTGAAATGAGGAGATAGAGGCCCACAGAGGTACAGTGCTGTGCCCAGGGTCACACAGCGAGAAACAGATGTTGGGCTCCTAACTTTCAGGTGAAAGCTGTGCTGCTCCCATACTGATGCAAAAGGAAGGGAAGAGGCTGGGAGGGCACTGAGCCAGCTCCGCACCCACCCCCTGCCTAGAGAGATGAGCACAGCTATCTTCCAGCTCACTGAGCCCCCTCTCAATCCTATGGCACCCTGGAGTCAGGGATCAATCCCCATGGTACTAGACAGCCACCCTGCTGTGACTGCCAAGTGCAGCCTTAACAGGGCTTGAGGCCTGGAAGCTGCTCCCGGAGGCCAATCGATGCTGGAGTTTGCAAAAGACAATCAAGAGTCAGAGCTGAAGGCAGTAGGAGAAGGGCCTGCTGGAGGGCTGGCCACTTGGGCGTCCAGCCCGGGCTTGTCACCATCAGCACAGGTCACGCAATGCCCACGCCTCCACAACCCATCCCAATACATAGGCCTCTGAAGACCCCATGCTCAGAACCTGGCATGCAAGTCACAGATGTGGAGATAGAGTGGGGACAACTCACTTGTGAGGGGCCTTCACTTGCCCCAGCCGGCAGCAGGGTCAATTAGTGGCTGGCCACACCTCTGCCTCAGTGGCCCACCTGCCCCAAATATATCCCTCCACCACAAAGGGATCTCCCAGAGGTTGAGATTTAAATGGACATGAATGATGATAAACGCTGCTAACAGCACATCCATCTGCCTAGACACATGCACTGTGTGCTGCTCTGTTGGCTCCATGCCAGCTGGGGTGGAGAGAGGAGTCACAGGTGAATTCCACCCAAAGAACACAGGTGTGTTACAAGTCCAGTCACCCACAAATATCCCCCAACCCAATCCAGAGGGGAGCAAACAGCTCGGCAGGGTCCCCAAGGGATGTGGGTACACTCTCTACCCTCAGAAAGGGTCTCTGCCTATGAGAGGGCATTCCAAAAAGGCAGGAACCTTCTTCCTGGGGAGCCCTCAAACACCCAGATCCTCAAACCTTAACCCCAAATGTAGCCTTACAACACTGATCTGTCACCAAAATAGTAGCTGGTTTCCACAGAGGGCCCCCCACAGCCCGCATGAACAAAGCGCTACTGGGCCATGGGGACAATCCCCACAGCAAACAGCCAGATGCACACCTGCTGTGCCCAGCACCCCCTGAAAAAAAAAGCCTCCATCAGGAAGAGTGAGAGGCGCTGCTCACAGGCCCCCACTGACAGCAGGGGAGAGTCTGGGTCCGCGTAAGGCACCCCACTTCAGCAGAGATCGTTAACAAATCATGCATCCACTCTACCAAACACCTACACTGGGTTTTATATGAAAGAGTGTGTACATGACCTATCAGGTGAGCATCTCAATATCCCGCCCCACTCTGAGCCATCATGCCTCATTTTCAAGTTCAAGTGATGCTCCCTAAAGATGCACCATGCTGACCCCTGACGCACTCGGCCTCCGGCACACAGCCACGCCTTTGCACACGTAGAGCAGGCAGACCTGAAAGTAAGAAGCCCCGGATGATAGACACTTTCCCTAAAGTGACACCAGCGAGAATGACATGACAGAGGAGGACTGTCGGTGGAGGTGGGCAGGCCCTTTTCAGGTGCTGCTGGTTGGCTGCCTGCACACGGGCACAGGTGCCTTCCCATCAGCACAGCTATAAGACAGCTCCTGCAATTCAGCCTGAGTTTCTTGAGAAGCTTCTGGGTCCTAAGAACTGAGCTAGGACCATGGGGCCACAGATGTAGGAGGCAGGCCCTCAGTAGGGGGCCAGACACTGGGACAGACCTGAGTGATGGGGCGACGGGCCGAGCACCAAGATGTTTATAATCACCCCCTAGTTCATGTTTTTTCTCATGCCAAAACCAGGCAAACTCGATGCAGAAAACTTAGTAATCACAGAAAAGTGCAAAAGGCCACAAAACACAGTCCACAACAGCTGCCATCTTCAAATATTCACAAGGCCTTCAAGTGCAAGAGGAATCCCAACCAGTGCGGGAGTGGAGCATCTGAGGCTCAATGTGATAAACCATTTGACGTTCAGAGCTCCCCTCTGTGGGACTGAGTACCCCGTCCCTGGAGGCATCCTAGTGGGGGCCTCTCTGAATACCATGGAAAATACTCCAAAATCAGGTGGAAGATGACCTCAACCTATAAGATTCCCTTCATTTGTGGGAAGGGATTGCACCCCAGGCCAGCCGCACGCCCACCAGCCCGTGTCCCCACTCACCCACAGGCGTGTCCTCGCTGATCAGCAGGTATGTATCAAAGAAGTGGTTGGTGAAGAAGGGCAGCCGGTTCACCTGGCCTGGAAGTCAGAGGACAACAGCATCAGCCAAGTACCCCCCATCAGCTTTACACACTCTATAAGGTGACACAGGGTGAGGGCTACAGTGGGCACTGAGCCTGTGTCCATGGCCATGGTCAACTTCCCAGGACCCTGGAAGTCACTATCCTGCCTCAGGGCAAGTGAGGGACAATGCCAGTAGGTTGGCAGGCACCTGTCAGGTGTGTGGCGAGTGAGGCCGCCTGCCACACGTGCCTGCTGAGCATGGCCACATGGAGCAAGCATATGACAGGGGCTCCCCAGGCAAAAGACAGGATTTAGAAGCCTCTGTATGAAAAAATTAGTATAAAATAGCTCATTGATCTTTTACATTGATTATATATTAAAACGATTATATTTTGGATATATTGGATCGAGTAAAATATATGATTAAAATGAATTTCACCTGTTTCTTTTTACTTTTCTGATTATTATTTTTTTAAGACAAAGTCTCACTCTGTCACCCAGGCTGAAGAGCAGCAGTGTGATCACGGCTCACTGCAGGCCCGATCACCCAGACTAAAGCAATCTTCCCACCGCGGCCTCCCAATTAGCTGGGACCAGAGGCATGCTCCAGGCCAGGCTATTTTATTTTATCTTATTGTATTGTATAGATGCGTTGAGGAGGGTCTTACTATGTTGCCCAGGCTGGTCTCCAATTCCTGGGCTCAAGCAGTCCTCCTGCCTCGTCCTCCTAAAGTGCTGAGATTACAGGCATGAGCCACCGCACCTGGTCTCTTTTTACTATTCTACTGTGGCTCCTAGAACATTTAAAATCACATGTGGCTTGCATTGTCTTTCTATTGGGCAGCGTGGCTCTAGCAGAATATGAGCTCTGCAAGGTCAGGGCTTGGTTGACGGCTGGAACCCCGGTGCCCAGAACAGGGCCTGACACTTAGATGGCCCACAGGATGATCTGGTGTGTGCAGGAATAGCCAGCTGATCCCACAGAATAATAACAATGATGACAATAGCTGCCATCTCAGGAACCCCTTCTCTGTACCAGCTATCTAAACCACCTCACTCAATCCTGATGGCAAGGCAGGTGCTATCACATCCCCATTTTACTGGGGAAAATGAGAACTCCAGGGGATAAGTAACATGCCTTGCTTACACAGCTGGCAAGTGGCGGTGGCCATCCAGGAAGCCAGACCCCAAAGCTCATGCTGTTAACCATGTGCTGCTCTGTGATGGCTTCAGAGGGGGCTGAGGCTGGAGGCGGTCAGGGTGATACCCACATGGGCTGGGGAGCATAGCACCTATGAGAAGCAGCCACTCAAAGCTTCCCTGAGGCTGACTCCACCCGTCCCCCCGGCTTCTCCTAGGGGCCTTCAGTTGGCAAGTGAGGGCACTTCCCCTCGGTCCCTCCCAACCAGGAGGCAGCTGGTTTAGCTGGAAGTGGGATTGTCATTGTGCAGCACCTGCCATCGGGGGCACTGGCTCAGCCCTCCAGGGGCCCTGAGCATAGGCATATGGGGCACTCTCTCTCCCTCCCTTTCTGCTGACCCGGGCACCCTCAGAGCAGTGCCAGGCTCCCAGAGGATGAGAAGGCTGGCATCTGGGTATGGCACTTCCTCCTCCAGCCCAAGATGCCTCCTAGTTGGGACCAGGCAGAGCTGGGAGACTCTGGCCTCTTTTCCTCCTCCCCACCTCGATGTGCTCAGGCAGACAAGCTGATGCCATTGCTAGTCCCTCATTCTGCCCTCTCTCACTTCCCGGCCAGGACCGATGGCCCTTCTGCCTTCATTTGCCAAATTCCTATTCACCCTTCAAATCTCATTTCCATTGGCCCTTCTTCCAGGAAGCCCTCCCCGACCACCCCAAATACTCACATGCACCCATGAACACACCTCCCCACTCTCATGTCAGGAGCACAGCAGCCTCAGATAGAGGCAGTGGTCAAGGGCCTCACCTTTTTTTGAAACCCCCCTGTGCCTCTTTCTAGCCATATGACTATCCTATGTCTCAGTTTACCCATGTGTAAAATAGCCATAACAATAGGACTTCATGGCTAACCTGAGAATTAAATGAGATGACATACATAAAGCGCTTAGCGTTGTGCCACTGGCACACAGCAAGCACTCCATAAATGGTTGCCAGTATTAACATTGGTATTAATAAAGATGCCGCCTTTGCAGCCCACTGGAAGGCTTTTGATCCCTGCTGGGGGCCTTGGGCTCAGGATACAGGAGAGCGGGACGCAGCCCAGCCGAGGTAGATGAGTGCCCAGAGAACTCAATAGCTGGTTTGGGCTGGTGAGGCTAGGAAACCAGTGAGGAAAAATAAAATCACCTGCAGTGGCATCGTTCGTTTTTAAATTTTACTTTACAGGGCCTGCTGATAATCAGTGGCTGGGAGCTCTGCACGGGCAGCTAGGCAGACTCGGGGACGTGGGTTGCCTGCCACATAACAAGCAGTTCCCGTGTTCCCAGAGCGGGCCCACCACAGGCGGGGCAGACAGGTGACTTATTCTCAAAGCCGCTGTTAAAGCGCAGTAGCTGTGTGCTCAGGAGCTTTGGGGCCTCCAGCGAAGCGGGAATGTAAGTGGATGTGGAAGGGGAGGGGTGGGGGTGATTTCTTCGGGGGAAGGAGAATCCCAGCTTCCCAAGTGTAGGACCCCTTGCTCTGTCTCAGGCCCCACATGGCCCACCCCATTGTGGGTCGGTGGCTTGTGAGCGCTGCCCTGAGCCCTCTCCCACCCTCTCCCAGCCTCCCCGCCACCCCCACTGCCATTCCTCAACTAGAGCCTGCAAAGGTAGACCAGGCAGGCATGTGCCTGCTTTGCTTAGTTCCAGCACCCTAAGGGGCCTGAGGGGAGAGGGGAGAGAAGGGCGCAGAGAGGGCACAGCGTTCCAGCTGCCTGCTGAATGACAAGAATTTCCCACACACAGGGGTAAACACAGGCTGGGTGGCGGCATGGAGGTGCCATCCAGGGGACCTGATCTGGGACTGAAGGGACGTCGGTGTGCTTATATGGGGAAGGTCCCCACCGGATCACGGCGGCCCAAGCCAGGAAGCATGAACTTCTCTCTGAATTGCGGGGTGGGGGTTCCTCTGAGGGCATGAAGAACCCAGTCGAGTGGAGGGTCCAGATTCCAGCCAGGCCAGCCTGAGTCCATGCCTCGGCTGCCTCCCCAGACCTCGGGGCAAGGGTGGGGGCTGAAGGCTCTGTGGCTGTGCTGAGATCCCGGCTGGAGAGAGCATCAGAGTCCCCCTGCCAGTCATCCCTTGACAAGGAAGGCGCACTAGACAGGGAGTGCAGGGATAAATTCAAGGAGTCAGGGATTTTGCGTGCTCTGCCACTGCTGCTGGGGAGCTTAGGCAGATCCCTCTCCTTCTGCCTCGCGCTCCGCCCCATTTTCCAGCCTCAGGATAGGGACAAAAAGCTCTGCCCTGCGCTCCAGTCCTGCCTCCCAGCCACAGGTGTCCTGTGCACCTTGGTCACTGTTGGGGTGGCTGCAGTGTGGCCCACAGGAGCCCCAGGGGATAGGAGCCTGACATGGTGTCGGGTGGGGAAGCCAGGTGGCCTCATGGTCAGGCGCATGGGTCCCCACCCAGCACCTGGGGACCAAGGGAGTGACCCAGCAGGATCCTCGCTGGCTGGTCAGTCTAGGATGGGGTGGGGCGGGCCTGCCCAGGCCTTCGCTTCCTGCCTCCCCAACCAGCCCATGGATGAAGGAGAATTGCTAGAGTACATTGAGGCCGGAGGGGAGAAGGGCAGGAGGCTTGAAAGAGAGAAGGCAGGCTGGCAAGGCGTTTTGACAGCCCTGAGCCCTACCCATCTCTGACTACCAGGGAGGGGAGGAGAGATCAGCTGGGGTGACGGGGTCAGGTGGAAGCAAAGTGGCGAGGGCAGTGTGGTCTGGTCTGGGGCACAAGTGAAGGGCTAGGTCGGGGCGGGTGTCTAGAGGGTGGCCTGAGAAGGTGATTCAGTCACCCACTCTCCCCCAGTCCCTAAAGTCAGCCACTGCCCCACCAGGCCAAAGGAATAGCACTGGCTGCTTCAGACAGGGACCAGGAAGAGGGGACTATGCCAAGCAATGAGAGAGAGAGGGAGCCTTGTGCGTACAGCAAGCACATAGTCCACATGCAGGCGACCACACGCGCTCTGGCATAGAATTGCTGGATGACCTTGGGCAACTTGCTTAGCTTCTCTGTGCCCCATTTTGCTCCCCTTAGAGAAAGATTACTTCTGATAATAAAGGAGCCAACGCTTAATAAGCACTTATTCTGTGCCAGTCAGTATTATAAGTGCTTGATGTATAGATTAATCTATTTGATCATTTTGATGACCAGAGAAGGAGAGTCCTATTATCGCTCCCATTTTAAAGACAAGGAAATTAAAGCACAGCAAGGTTAAGACACTCGCCCAAGGGACCCCTTGGCTGAAGTGGGACTGGAAGACAGGAGGTCAGCTCTGACTGTACGCTCTGTTCTTGTTCTCACCCTGAGTGCATGAAGCATCTTTCATCTGGAGAGCTCAAGGGGAGACTGCCATGTCTCACAGGGGAAGGCAGCTGAGGGCTTAGCACCTGCTATATTTCTACTGATGTATTTTTTTTTCTTTTTTTCATTTTTTGAGACAGAGTCTCGCTCTGTCACCCAGGCTGGAGTGCAATGGCACGATCTCAGCTCACTGCAATCTCCGTCTCCTGGGTTCCAGCAATCCTTGTGCCTCAGCCTCCCAAGTAGCTAGAACTACAGGTGTGCACCACCACCATGCCCAGCTAATTTTTGTATTTTTATTAGAGTTGGGGTTGTGCCATGTTGGCCAGGCTGGTCTTGAACTCCTGACCTCAAGCGATCCTTCCACCTCGGCCTCTCAAAGTGCTGGGATTACAGGCAAGAGCCACTGTGCCAGGCCAAGTGTATTTCTTTTTAACAGATGAAGAAAGTGAGTGGAACGGAATGGGGGAGGGGGGTCGGTCCCAGGTGGCAGAGTCCCCAGGGAGGCTGAAGAAAGTCCTGATTCCCACCGTCCAGTGAACATGGAGGTCAGGGCTGCTCTCAGGTGCCCCTGATTAAAGCCTCCCACATGGGGCGGGGGGAGCAGGGTTGGAGGGGTGATATCCTGACAGAAGCCCGCATGGAGGATAAGAGACCCCTGCTTTGTACAGCCTTGGGCCAGTACTTCTCTAGGGTTCAGTGTCTCCTCTGTAAAATGTGCTGGGAGTTAAGAAAACGCTTGAGGCTGTCTTGCACTCTGAGAGTCTTTGAGACTGTGCTGTGCTCCTGGGCTGCCTGGATGCGAGTGAGCTCCCCACCACAGGGGGGATTCCAGTAGGGATCCCTCCAAACATGGAGGCAAGGAGAGGGGATCCTCGAGGGATATTCAGGCTGCAGGACGCTAGCAACACTCCAACAAGCACGAGGCTGCAGCGGCCTCCAGAGACTCCGCCTGGCTCCCTGCAGAGGGAGAAGGAGCTGGCCTCCCCATAGGAATGTGTGTGCGTGTGTCACCAGGTACACAGTGCCCACGGCTCTTCTCTGGGGATGCCATGGCCCCCGGGGATGCCACGTCAGGCGTGCCTGCTCTCCTGGCCTGCCTTCAGTGCAGCCCAGGACTGCTTTGTTCCTCACCACCTGCTGTCCAGGGGCCAAGCGAGAAGCGAATGCCCAGGCCTCTTCTAGCCTCCTCCATGGGCTCTGGAGCTGGCACTCAGAGCGGGCTGCTGCAAGGCCAGGAAAGGAGGGCAGAGGGGAAGCCTCCTGGCTGTGATTCCTTTGCTCAGACTATGCCCTCCAGCAGGATGCCCTTCTTCCTGCTCACCTAGTTTAAAACTACTTCTTGGTCTTCACAGCCAGATCAAATGCTGACCCTTCTGGCTGCGTTTCTACTGTCCCCTCAGGCCCAGTTCATCTTTTCTTCTGATGGACGTCCCTGGAGCCGTGCCCATCCTTCATTACCACTCTATTCACCCTGCAGTATAGGAAATCCTGCGTGTGTCTTTCTCCCCTGCCAGGCTCTGAACTTCGAGAATAAGTTATTTCCTCCATTCCCCCAGAGCTGGATGCAGTAGGTCACACACGGTGCAAATAGTAGGTGCTCAGAACACAGCCGTGGAACTGAACAGAGCTGTGGCCAGTCCCTGCACCCCAGGAGGAGGACGGTTTGCGGTCACAGATGCCTCTTTCCCTTAGAGCTCACGTATTTCTCAAGGCTCCTCCCATTCCCTCTTGTGTCCCAGGCTTTGGGGACAGCTGGTATTTTCAGCCCTGTGAGAGCTGCAGAAGGCAACCGAGGCCCAGAGAGAGAAGTATATGCCTCAGTCCCACAGTCAGGCAGTGTCTCCAGAGTCCCAGAGCACAAAGCTGAACCACCAGCCCCAACACCCTCCAGCCTGGCCTCCCGTGCGGAGGCTGCCCATGGAGTAGACACAGGGAGGACTGGACTTACCCCAGCATCCAGAGATCAGCACCAAAAGCCAGGCCACGTGGCAGCTGGTAGCAACATGGCACCCCATGGCTCCTGGGGACACAAAGAAGGAGAAGAGGATGAGAAGCCTCCTGGGCAGCAGGGGGTCTGCTCCTCAGCCCCTCCCACCTCTGCAACTCCAGAGAGAACTGGGGCTTGGAAGGGAGGAGAAGGAATCAAGTCAGCTGGAGGGTTTGGGAGCACATGGGAAAAAAGAGAGGGTCTGTATCATTTGGTTTTAACATTGTTCAATCCTGGGTATAGCACAGTGGCCTGTGAAACACTGGGGCTGGGGCCTATCGGGTCCTCTTTGCCCTCGTGGGGACTGGCTGTCCTGCAAGGGAACTCTGGGCAAAGAGTGACATATTCTAGGCTTAGTAGATGGAGGGAGGGGCTGCTGCCTTCAGCCTCCAGGACGACATCCCCCAAGAGTGACAGAGCCTGGTTATCCTGGGGACAGCATTGAGGAGATGGGCACTGCCTGGGAAGACAGGGGTCTAACAGGAGGCTTGACAAGTCCAACAAGCCTAAGCCCACCACCAGCACCCAATGAGCATAGCTCTTCCTGTTTTTCATTTTTTATATTCACCATATTATCCCATAACCTTGTATATGAAGGGATGCAGCAGGCCATGGTGTCCAAAGAGGCACAGAGAGGGGAGGTGACCTGCCCAGGACCTCACAGCAAGTCTGTGGAGGCTAAAGCTGAATTTTGAAGGGCTCAGAGCTAAGCTCTAGTGAGATCTGGGGCTCAGCTGACAGAGGTTCTGTAAGATCAGATCCCATTTCTAAGGGTGGCTGGGAGGGTAGACAGCTCTCTCCCACATGGCAGCAGCCCCCACTCTGGTCCCATTCCATCAGGGCCCTGGTCCTCCAGCGGCTCAGAAGCAGGCCTCCCTAGAGCCCAGCAGTGACACCAGGGGGACCACGCTCACCAACCAGGAATCCTAACCTCCTACAGAACTGTCCGCCTTGGTAGTGCAGGGCCGGACTCACACACATCACCCTTCAATGCGTACCTACTGTACATCTGGCCTGGGGGGTGTTCATCTCCCTGGCTCACAAAGTAGGGTTAGAGCCATTCGGCGATTTGTTCAGAGACCTCCAGCTAGAGACCAGCATCAAGACCCAAGCTGGTGTACTATCTCTCTTGTCAATAAGTGACCAGGAAAGACACAGGGCAGTGAATGGAGCTGGAAGAAAGGACTTTTGGAGAGACTTCCACATCTCTGCCAACATATAGGGGTGAGGGATTAAGAAAGAGCTGAGAGCCCAGAGCCCTTAATTCTGGACTTGGAGGGGCCCCAATCCCTCTCAGCCCACATCCCCAGTGAACAATGAGGTGACCCTACCAGATGGTTCCTGACCAACATGACATACAACAGTCCAGTCCACAGTCCCCTTTTGCTTTCCTTCTAATATCATAATTAAAATATCCTAATTACAAAGCATGCAATAGTCATTTGAAGAATAAAATATTCTTTTTCTTTCTTTCTTTTTTTTTTCTTTTTTTTTTCATTTTTCTTTTTCTTTGGACAGAATCTCACTCTGTCACCCAGGCTGGAGTGCAGTGGGGTGATCTTGGCTCACTGCAACCTCCACCACCTGGATTCAAGTGATTCTCCTGCCTCAGCCTCCCGAGTAGCTGGGATTACAGGTGCGTGCCACCAAGCTTGGCTCATTTTTTTTGTATTTTTAGTAGAGACGGGGTTTCACCATGTTAGCCATGCTGGTCTCAAACTCCTGAACTCAAGTGATCCACCCGGCTCAGCCTCCCAAAGTGCTGGGATTACGGGTATGAGCCACCATGCACGACAAAACACAAAAGATTCTAAGACGTATTTGCATAATAAGGGGCAACTCTTCCCCTACACATCCTATTGAGTTTCTGAATATTAACAGCCTATCACAGGGGTTGCAAACTGAAATGCCTACAAGGCCAGCAGGGAATTTAGATGAGGGTAATGCTGGGTAGCTGGAGATGATGGCCAGTTGGAGGCCACATGCTCTCTATTGAAAAGTGGCAGCTGTTGATGTGTTTCAGCCAAGAGGGAATGTGGGCCCAGGGTGGCAGAGCCTCTGATTTTTCTCAATGAAAAACTAGAAATCAGGCTTTTCACATGAATTCAATTTTTAAATGTTGGCAAATAACTCAATTTGTAAGGAACACTTTGTGAGTCAAACATGACCATGGCCAGAGTGGGCAGGCAGGGCCTGGCATGCATCCTACCAGGCCTTTCTCTGCACCCAAGAAATATGTTCCCATTACACACATGTACGGAGCCGTGAGGCTACTGTTTACTTTGAGAATAATGGAGTTACCCTCTACATACAAGCAACTTGCTTTTCACACATCAAGAAATTCCGCAGATGGCACTCCAGGCCAACATTGCTTAGAATTACCTCTTTCTATTTAGGAGATAATAATAGCTCGTGGTATGGATGTTTCCTAATGGAGACTTCATCCCTTACCGATGGGCATTTGGATGTTTCCAGATTCCTGCCCCCGTGAGCAATGCCACCGTGAACGTCTCTCTGTACATAATTGTGTTGGGATTTGGCTCTTCCGTTTGGTTCTCCAACAGTGGGAGTGCTGGGTCAATTAAATACAACCCCGAGTGTGTATGTGAACTTTTACTAAACGCTGCCATATTATCTTCTGGAAAAGGCTGTGGCAATTCGCAGTCCCGCCAGCAGTATATGAGGGGGCCTATGTGCCCACCTGGAAGTGATCTCTCTTTTAAATGGCTGCCAATCGGACACATGAAAAATGGTATAGCATTGCTGCTTTAATTTGCATTTCCCTAACTACTAGCAAGGTTGAGCAAGATGCCTTTCTCTAAACGTTCAAACCACTTTCCATCTGTTATCTTGCGTTACCCTATCATATCCTGCAAAGAAGCTAGCCAGCAGCACTAGCATTATCCCTGATTTACAAGTGGAGAAATCGAGGCACTGGGCAATTAGGTGACAATCTGACATCTCACAGTGAGTGAGTATCTTCTACGGAAAAAACCTCAGCCCTCTGCCATTCCAAACCAGATGTCATGAGAATTAAACAACATCTGCTAAGAACATCATCCACAAATAGCTGGGGAGAGCACGCCATTCTGCTGGGTGTTGCAGGAAGTTTGCGGTGGAAGGAAGGGAGGAAATGAACACTTGTTAGGCAATCCCACAGGCCAAGGATTTTCACAGGTATTATTTTTACTCAAACTTCCAAAATAGCTCTATGAAGTAGGTCTTCTTGTCCCCATTTGATAGACGAGGACATTGAGGCTCAGAGAGGTCACTCTAGGATTGATCAAGTGTGCCTGAGTCAGAGTCTCCTGCTGTTTCCATCACACCATGCTGCTGCTCCCATTTCCTGACTGTGTAAAAGGGGAAGACATGACCCCTCCCTCATGGAGCATAATATCCATCACACAAAAAACACAGGGTGAATATCTGTCAAGAGGTGAGCGCCTGCACACACATATGTGCATAATGCCTTTCGCTTTCCACAGTGCGAGTTCAGGCTCCAACACTGCCAGGCACACTGGGCCCCTAACCTCTCTTCTTAAGTGCCCTTCTCCTCTCCCCATTGGAGGCGATCAGACTGCCTCAGTGCCCAGATCCAACAGTCAGGGGTAGATGCACACAATCCTAATTCTGCAGGATTGGCAGGGACTGCCTCCAGAGCATCCGGAAGCAGGGACCATCTCAGCTCCATCCTGACTCTGCCTCCATCCTCCCCATAGGGCGAGGTGGCACCGACACTGGGTCAAGGGTCAAGGGGACACAGGTTCCAAAGGGTAAAGCAAAGCAGCTGGGCCTGAAGGGCTCCACCCTGCTGCTGGTTTTCCCTGAGGTCCCAGATCTTCTTCCTCTGGCTCCTCTGGCTATGGGAGGAAAGCAAGGCCCAGAGAGAGCAGAGGCTGATGCCAGCAGGAAGAGACAGACTCCTAAGCCCTGACCTCCAGCCTCGGTGTGGTGAGCGACGCTGCTTTGCCTGCTGGCATTCCTCAGTAGTGGGGCCGCAGCGAGCAGCGTGGGTCCCCAGGGAGAGCCTGACCTCGCTCTGCTCTGTGCAATAGCTGTTTCCCCAGCCTCCTGGCCTCCTCACCTCCCATTCAGCATAGCCAAGTGGCTTCCTCCACCATCTTCAGGCCCACCCTTAGGATGGGGCCTGAGCTCCCACCAACCCTCATGTCTCCCCACTGGATCAGGAAACACAGACACACCCTTCTGTGCTGGGCCTCCTGCTTGGACCTGGGATAGGTGCCAGAGACCTGCTCCAGAGGTAGGGGCAGGGCCACAGCCAGCTGCTCCCAAATCTCTCAAGTGCTGGCTTAGAGCCCTCCTCCTAAGAAGACACACAGCCCCAAAGCCCTCAGACTCCAATTCCCTACATCCTTCTTCATGCCAAACTTTGTGCCAGGCACAGTGGGGGGACATAGGGTCATGGGAACATACAGCTGTGACTGGAAACATGTAAGTGAAACATTCAAATAAGTGAAACAGACTATCACTGCCCAGGGCCATCAGGAGAGAGAAAATCCCAGGGCTCCTAGCTTTCAGGGCTCAAGCTACACACACATCAGATTCATAAATCTAACATTTACTGAGTCTATGTTCTATGCCAGTCATTGTGATACACAATGCACTCTACATGCTGGGGCTCAGAGAGGCTAAACAAGTCGCTCAAGGTCACACAGCTAATACGTGTCAAGTCTGGATTTGAACTCCATTCTGATGGCCATCATGGCCAGGCTCCCAGCCTCAGCCCCAACCCTTGCTGAGCTCAGACATGTGACCCAGGGGAGGGTCCTGCAGAGGCGCCTGATAGGAAGTCTTTGGGCAAGACCCTGTGGCATCTACTCAGCGAGCCCAGTGAGAATTCCAGCATGCTCACAGCCAAGGCACGCTGGGCCAGCAGGAGGTAAGCTGCACATGCCAGGAAGAAAGCGGATGGCTAGGGTGGTGGTGGGTGGGCTCCTGTTTCATCTGCCCTCCCAGGCTGTTGGCAACTCACATGCATTGCCCCTAGAACCAGTAGCAATCGGAGAATGCAT